ACTTGCATTCTTAGTTCTTTCAATAATTGTAATCGTTTGATCTCTTATATTCATCGTTTGGAAAATATTGTACAATCTTGTAGAAATTCGAAGTAAGAAACGTGATCTTCTTTCGATGAGACATCTAAGCATAAACCATTTTTTTTATAATGAATCTAAGCATAATCTTGAACTATTCATATATTCTTCTCCAAAGTATGTAAAGACTCTAGACATTACAAAACAATTGAAAGCTTCTCAACTATTTTGTTTTTAGATTTAGACCATTAATAATATTTATTTTGAAAGGTAGATTAATATATATTGGTAGCTTACGAATATTGTTATGTTGTGTTACGTATTTTTAAATGTGTAGATTAATTTTAGAGGACTTTAAGTCAATCAGTGGCCATGTTAATTACGTTATGAGCCATAAAAGTATAACACAAAAAATGTATTACACAAAAATCCATTGTTTGAAAACATAATATGAAACGGAGGGAGTATAAATCAAAAGAAACCACTACTCTACTTGATCACTACCACCACACGTATAAAAAACTTTAAAATCCAGATTAAAAAGGTATAAAAATGGGTTATATCACAAGATATAACGAAAAAACTTTTTGGAATAATCCTATTCATCCTCTTGTTTCAATATTTTGATCTCCATAAAATAAAGCAAACAATCACTACATTAGACATCAAGATATAACCATGCTCAGTAAGCATGAAAACCAAATATTTCAGAACCTACAATTATATTTTTGTTTGTTAACGATCGTACAAAATTATACACAGCAAAATCAAAAATTTAGAATCGAACTATCCTTGTTATATACCTTGGTGCATATTTTATTCTTCTCGACCTCTATTGCTTAAAATCCACTCCAACGTATCCTAAAATCAGAAGATTATGTTTAGAGTTAGAACGATAGATAAATAACAATAGACATAATGTAACATTGTTTTTTAACAATAAACGATTGACCACCTACAGTACACAGCAACACATCCAAACAAATGCTCATTGTTAAAGCTTAAACG